CTGTGCTCATGGCGGGGGGGAGGGGCAGGCGGGCTGTAAAGGGGCCTCCCTCCGCCTGACCCAGATTGGAGTGGTATAAATCCCTGGGCAATGACAGGCAGTTGGCTGAGGATAGAACATGCATAGGGTGGCAGGGGCCCTGGGGGCTTCCAGGCTGTCCCCTGAATTCCCAGCCGCCACCCCCTCCTGCCATGACCCCCACCTCGGGAACAGGAAGCAGACTGGAGAATCTGCCCGCTCGGCCTGGCTGCAGTCCTGAGGAGAGCTGGGAAGCCCAGCACTGAAGGAGCCCCTTCTTCCTTGTTGCCTGGCTCAGGCTTGGGTACAGGGTCTTCAAGTCAGCATGGAGGGGGGGTTCTGAATTTCTAAGATACCATCGAGGTCCAAGGAGCATTGGCCGACCAAGTAGATGGCCTCCAAGCCTTAGTGCAGATCTGCAGAGGCCGGGCTACCTGCACTGCTTCCTGGACCCCACCTGTCCATAGGCAGTACTGGGTGAGGGTGGGGTTAGGTCCCAGGTTCTTGAATCACCCCCCTCACTTTCTCCAGTATTGCTGGCCTCATGTCTAGGCTGGCTGAGGTGGGATGGGAGGCTGTGGGAGGGGGGTCTTCTCAGAGCACCCTGGGACCTAAATCAGGCCTGAACTCCCCTGTGTCTGGGCTCAGCACAAGTCCCGGAGTGGAGCAGGTGGGCAGATGGAGGGACCAGGGAAAGGACAGCTGGGATGTGGGTTTGTGCTTGGCATGTTGGTACTACCAGAAGAGGAGGCGCAGGGTTCTGGGGGACCAGGCTGGACACAGCTGGAGGAGCCCAGTGGCTCCTAGTCATTGTGATGCCTGCTCGGAGACCCCATCTGGGGTCATGAGGCTGCAGCCCTCCTGCCACCCCTCCCCTGTCACCCCATCAACGGGCCCTCTCTCCCCCAGGCCTCTGATGCCCCTGCTGGACCCAGACTCCGGGCTCCTGGTCCTGGCAGGAAAGGTGAGCAAGAAGCCCGAGCCACCACCTGTGTCCACCACCTAGCACTCAGCCCCCAGGGCTAGGGTCCTCTCTTGCTGTCCCCCAAGAGAGGAGGAGCTAGAACAGTACGCAGGTTCCACCACTGGCCTCCGCCACTGGCCTCCTGCAGTGCGAGCGGGCACTGCCTCCTGCAGTGGGCGCCACCATGGCTCGATGGCTCAGGTCTCAGGAAGGAACATGGGAACTGGGGCTGGACCCAGGCCCTGCCCCGTCCACCAGATGCAGACCATGAGTAGAGCTCAGGTGTGGCTTGTTTCAGGGTGAGAGCCAGCTGTGCTGCTATGAGGTGGCCCCACAGCAGCCAGCACTGAACCCAGGTAAGCTCTACCCCCTCCCTCCCCCTCCTCCCCCTCCTGCCGTGACTGTCCTCCCATGTGCATGGTGTCCTCAACAGTGACCCAGTGTGTCCTGGAAAGCGTGCTGCGGGGGGCGGCCCTCGTGCCCCGGCGGGCGTTGGCCATCCTGGGCTGTGAGGTGCTCCGTGTCCTGCAGCTGAGCGACACAGCCATCGTACCTGTCAGCTACCACGTGCCCCGCAAGGTGAGGGGGTTCTGGGCCGGGGGCAGGGGAACTAGGGGGCCCATGCCTCATTGACCACCTGCCCATCTGCCACCAGGCTGTGGAGTTCCATGAGGACTTGTTCCCAGACACTGCCGGCTGTGTGCCCGCCTGCGACCCCAATACCTGGTGGGCTGGAAGCAGCCAGCAGGTAGGCCGAGGCCTGGCTCACTGCTCCTGGCCTCCACCAGCCTCTGGAAGCCCCTCAGTCCAGCTGTGCACCAACTCAGGGGGCCTGCTCTCTGCTCTCCATGCCTACCCTGTGGACCCCTCCCAGAGGCTCCCTTCTGACCGGGTGGCCCATGCCCCCCACTGCCACAACCGCCAGCCTCCCCACAGGTGCAGAAGGTCAGCCTCAACCCAGCACACCGGCCCCACCCCAGCTTCACCTCCTGCTTGGTGCCCCCCATGGAGCCTGCCGCTGACACAGCCCTGCCTACAGAGGCGCCTGTGGGCGATGCGGAGCCAAGCGTAAGTAGTAGGGCTGTCATCCCCAACCTCCTCCCCACAGCCATGCCGCAGCAGGTGCCCTGAGTGAGAAACACATGCAGCATAAATAAGAAGTTGACAGTGTTTTCTAGATTGAGCAAACACTTAAAGAGCAAGACTTTTCACGTGAAAATCTAGATTTCTGGTTTCTCTTGTAAAACAGGCAGATCTAATCTATGGGCACACCCTCCCACAAAGCTGGGAGCCGGAAGCTGCCACCTGCCATCCTGGGGCCCAAAACTCAGGCTGCTTCCCTTGTCCGTGTTACCCCAGCCCTTGTCAGTGCCTGTGTTTGTGCCCTGTCCCCCTGCACCATCCCACACCCATGCGGGGGGTTCCTACCCAGCCTGGTGTCCCAGAGCCCTAGGGGACCCCAGAGTGATGACCCCAGGGCCTGCCCATGACCCGTGCTTCTTCCCAGGAGGGCTTCTCCTCCCCTCCCAGCTCCTTGCCGACCTCGCCTTCCACGCCCTCCAGCCTGGGGCCCTCGCTCTCCAGCACCAGTGGCATCGGGACCAGCCCCAGCCAGAGGTCACTGCAGAGCCTACTGGGTGAGCAGGGCAGAACGGGGATCTGGCCCCTACCATGGGAACCCTGTCCACCCCAACCCAGCCCTGAGGGGAAACCTTCCTGCAGTAAGAGGAGCAGGTAGCCAGGACTTGGGGCAGGGCGGCAGGCACTGCATCCTCATGAGTGGCTGTATGTCCCTGCTGCCCACCAGGCCCCAGTTCCAAGTTCCGCCATGCTCAGTGCACCATCCTTCACCGAGACAGCCACATCACCAACCTCAAGGGACTCAACCTCACCACGCCCGGCGAGAGCAACGGCTTCTGTGCCAACCGGCTGCGTGTGGCTGTGCCCCTGCTCAGCAGTGGTGGGCAGGTGGCCGTGCTTGAGGTGAGGGACCCCATCCCACCAGGGCTGCCCCTCAGGTCTCTGCAGGTGATGGGAACACCAAGGGCATTAGCTCCCCACCGCAGCTCACTGAGTGCAAACCATGTCGGGCAGCTGCCCAGCCTGTCCTATAATCCTCCCAGCTGCCCCATGCGGTAGGTGCCACTCTTAATTCCATTTTACAGATGAGGGTGAAGAGGCACAGAGATTTAGTGACCTGCCCGGGTCACGCAGCTCTGTAAGTGGTGGAGCTGGAATTCAAACCCAGGCCATCTGAGCCCCAAGACTGAGCTTCCACCACTCCACCCTGCCACCCCCTCACTTTTGGGGCCTCAGTTGGCACCTGGAGCTCAGAGCATGAGGTGGCTAAGGCAGAGAGCTTGGGCCACCCAGTGGTGGGGGCATCTGCTGCAGATAGTGGGGCCCAGGCACGCTGCTTGCCCTGTAGCCTTGGGAGGCTCTCCTGTCTGGTACTGATGGGCCGTGGGGTGGGGGCACTCCTGCAGCTGCGGAAGCCTGGCCGCTTGCCTGACACAGCACTGCCCACGCTGCAGAATGGGGCACCCGTGACCGATCTGGCTTGGGACCCCTTTGACCCACACCGCCTCGCTGTGGGTAAGGAGGCTGGTGCCTGGGCTGGACGGAGGGTCCCAGGTCCCAAATGGGGCAGGGGAGACCAGAGGTCTCAGGTCCAGCAGTGACGAGCTGCTGGTCTCCGCAGCTGGGGAGGACGGCAGGATCCGGCTATGGCGGGTGCCGCCAGAGGGTCTGGAGGAGGTGCTCACCACGCCAGAGGCTGTGCTCACAGGTCAGGCAGGCCCAGCATGGGGGTGGGGGACAGTGGCTCCTGAAGGGCTCAGCGTCACCCCATGCCTCCCTGCAGGCCACACGGAGAAGATCTACTCCCTGCGCTTCCACCCATTGGCAGCCGATGTGCTGGCCTCTTCTTCCTACGACCTCACCGTTCGCATCTGGGACCTGCAGGCCAGAGCCGAGCAGCTGAGGCTGCAGGGCCACCAGGACCAGGTAGGACAATGGCAGGGGCAGGGGCCCGGCTATGAGGCAAGAGACCGCCTTTCATGTCCCACCTGTCCCCAGATCTTCAGCCTGGCCTGGAGTCCTGACGGGCAGCAGCTGGCCACTGTCTGCAAGGATGGGTGTGTGCGGGTCTATGAGCCCCGCAGTGGCCCTGAACCCCTGAAGGTGAGCAAGCGTGGGCTGGTGGGCGGCCCTGAGGCCTGGTTTGGGGGGCTCTGACTGTGCTTCACGTGCTGTATCTCAACAGGAAGGCCCAGGGCCTGAGGGGGGCCGCGGTGCCCGCATTGTCTGGGTATGCAATGGTTGCTGTCTGCTAGTGTCTGGCTTTGACAGGTAAGGACTCAGGGACCGCCATTCCAGGTTCCATCAGCCACCTGCAGCCCTTCTCCCCAAAGTCACATATATCTGTTAGGCTTGCAGAAGCTGTTTCTGCTCCTCACTTATTGGAGGGGTAGGTGGATGGATAGATGAGTAGATGGATGGATGAGTAGATGGGTGAGTGGGAGGGAGAATGAGTCCATGGGGGACCCAGATGGATGGGGCCCTGCTGCAAGGACCTACGCCTGATCGGGACCAGGAGAGATGTGGGAAACACAGAACCAGGTCAACTGGAGAGTCCTGAGAGATGGGCATGTGGTGCTTTGTAGGAGGGATCAGGGAGGGACTCCCAAGGGAGCTGTCATCTGAGCTGGGTCACAGAGGGGCTACTAACCAGAGACCTGGAGGAGAGGGTGTTTGAATCTGGGTGGAGAGGCCGGAAGCTGACCAGCCCAGCTGGAGAAAGGGGTGGTAGCAGAATGTTGGGGGAGAAGTCCAGACTTTGGAGGCCACAGCGACCGCAGAACGGGTGTGGGGCCAGAACTGTGCTGAGGAGCGTTGGGGGATAGTGGCCTGGGAATAATGGCTGATGGCAGAGCAACAGGTTGGGACACTGCTACTCCAGGCCAGGCCCGTGGTTCCAGCCTAGAAAAGGTAAGGTTTCCTGTTGGAGTCATTGCCCTGCCCTGGCCCCTCCGGCTCTGAGGACCTGCTCCTGCCCCCCACCCCCCTTGTAGCCGAAGTGAGCGCCAGCTGCTCCTGTACGCGGCTGAAGCGCTGGCAGGTGGCCCCTTGGCAGTGCTGGGCCTCGATGTGGCTCCCTCGACCCTGCTGCCCAGCTACGACCCAGACACTGGCCTGGTGCTCCTCACGGGCAAGGTGAGCCACCACTTGGTAGCAGTGGGAGGGGGTAAGAGGAAAGCCAGTTGTAACTGGCCCCTTCACTGTCACCTCCCCCACTTCCACCCCCCCAGGGCGACACGCGCGTGTTTCTGTACGAGCTGCTCCCAGAGGCCCCCTTCTTCCTAGAGTGCAACAGCTTCTCCTCGCCTGACCCCCACAAGGTGAGGCCGCTCTGGCACCTCGTCCTCCTGGCCCCACAAGGGACCACAGGGCTTCCCTGCCCCCTGGTGACCACATGGAGAAGTGCAGGAGCCTGTGTGGTCTGCGGCTGAGTCCTGGGCTGAGGCTGTGCCCAGCAGCTGGAGGGAGCGGGCTGTGAAATTATCTAGGAATTTTGTGAACTGGCTGTTACAGTCAACCATTATTAAAAATAAACCATATAAAGTTAAATTGTATGAACTTACAATATGAATCTACGAATAAATATATTAGAAGCCAAGGTCACAGATGCTCAGTTGATCACTTCCTAATTACTTCACCAGGTTTTGTTGTTTGTCCTGTTGAGGTTCTGTGCCTCTGTTGGGTCTGTAGGGCGGTGGTGCCGTATGACGGCGTGCTGCTGCTGTTCGCCTCTTCCCAACGCTGCTCGCATTGGTAGCTTGAAATCGCCATGGTGGGAGTTTCCACACTGTGGAAACAGACAAACGCTACAAATCAGAGCTTTTCCCTCCAGGGAGCCAGTTGTTAAAGGTGCCCAGCACACGCTGCCCAGGGGTAGGCCATGGTTCCGGTAGCACCCCGGGGGGCACTGTGAGCCTGCCAGGCCCTCCAGGCTCCAGCTCCTTTGCTCCCCTCAGGGCTTCGTCCTCCTGCCCAAGACAGAGTGTGACGTGAGGGAAGTGGAGTTTGCCCGATGTCTGCGGCTGCGCCAGACCTCCCTGGAGCCTGCCTCCTTCAGGCTGCCCCGAGTCAAGGTGAGGCTGGGGGCCAAGGACTCCAGAGCCCACCCCCCTTCCCAGACCTGTCAGGGGCTTAGGATCCTGTCTGGCCTTGTCCCAAAACTTTGCTCACCCCAACTGCTCATTGGGAACACCTGCTCCTTACTGTTCTGAGATACTGAAACTCACAGAAACACCAGACTAGGGGGAGGGTCCTCGGTTTGGTCAAGCCCCACCTCCCAGCAGATGCCAGCAGGCTGGGGCCTCTGGTCAGTTTCTCAGGACAGCTCCTTCCTCCCCCTGCAGAAAGAGTTCTTCCAGGATGACGTGTTCCCAGACACAGCCGTGAGCTGGGAGCCGGTGCTCAGTGCCAAGGCCTGGCTGGGAGGTGCCAACGGGCAGCCCCGGCTCCTCAGCTTGCAGCCCCTTGGCATGATCCCAGGTACTTAAGGGTCTGGGTGGGGAGGAAGCAAGGGAGGCAGGGCAGGGAGATGCAGAAAGGAGCAGAAGGCTCAAGGCCAATCCCTGTCTCTGCGTGGTCTGTGTTTCCATCACAAGTCCCCACCCCCAACAAATGCACACACACCCTGCTGCCCAGGGCAGCCTCAGTGAACAGAGGCTTCAGTCACTGTTAATGCCACCTGTTGGGTCTCTGCCACAGAATCCCAAAAGCTTGGTGCTAGCCCCCACCCAGGGGACTCTCTGATACCTGTCCTTGCCCCACCCCAGTGAGCCAAGCTCCCCGTGAGGCACCTGCTCGGCGGGCCCCATCCTCAGCACAGTACCTGGAAGAGAAGTCAGACGAGCAAAAGAAGGAAGAGGTAGGCATGAGAGAGGGCTGGTCATGGTGGGGAGGGGTCCTGGCTGGGCTTCATGACTGTCCTTCAGTTCTTTAGCACTGACCCCGACTAGGAGAGGAGCCACATGCCACTCCCCTCTCCACCCCAGATCACAGTGGGGAGACCTTCCAGAGCCCTGCTGCTGACCTGCTGCTGCCTGTGGGCACGGGGGTGGGAGGGGCGCATGAAAGACACCGCCCTGGCAGGGCCTAACCCAGCCATAGCTGCAGGTTTTGGAGCCAAGTGCTTTTGGGATTCTGGTGTGCATTTGAGTGTTTGAGGCAGTGTGTGGAGACACAGCACCTGTATCTGGTGCTACCTGTCACAGTCTCTGTTTCTGCCTCCCTTGTCTCTCTCTCTGTTTTTCAATGAGAACCCATCAGCTTTGTCAGGGCTGTAATTGAAATGGCTTTTTTTGCAACATGGTCAGGGGTAAATTAAGACTGGGGGGTATGATGTTTTTGGAGTTGGGGAGTCCTATTCCCTTCCCTTCTCCTGTCCACTGTCCCAGCTGCTGAATGCCATGGTAGCAAAGCTGGGGAACCGGGAGGACCCGCTTCCCCAGGACTCCTTCGAAGGCGTGGACGAGGACGAGTGGGTGAGTGTGAGAGTGCGAGGGCCCCGCCTCCCTGCAGCAGCACCCACCCCCTGCAGCGCCTGCAGCCCCTCTTAACTCCCTCCTACTCCTCGGTTTATCACCAGGACTAGCTTGCCCACCAGGCACTGGGCCTCACCTACCGCTGCCACCTCCTAGAATCATCTATGCCCCTGCACACCTCAGATTGGAAGACACCGCCCTGGCACTCCTCACCCCAGGAGCCCTGGCTTCCCATGGGCCCTGGGCACTTCCACGGCCTCTGGGCCCACTGCAGCTCCTGTGGGTTGTCCACACCCCTGCTTTCTCTGGGACCGGCTGCTTCTCCAGCTGCCTGCTTGCATGAAGAGCCAAGGGGGTGGGGGTGGGGTCAATAGCATGTCCCTGGGCAAGCCCGGGGCTCCCTGTCTCTCCTTTCTCTGCTGACCTGGGCTGGCTTTGCCTAGCACCTTCAGTTACTACATGCCACCCCATCTTGCCTTGCCTGCTACCCCAGTTCCAGTCAAGAGCCTTGGGGGCCAGCCCGCCCACCAGGCCATTTGGAGCAGCGCTAGACTCAGGGGCCTGGGACTAGTTGCCCTGCTACCCAGGTTTGAAGCCAGGAGAAGGGGCATCACAGAACTGATGGCCCAATTAAGGGGGGTGTGAGCCCCACAGGGACTGGCTTGCACATGCCCAGGGTGTTCTCAGCAATTAAATTTTTCTAAGCTGGCCCCCTCTTGTGTTTCAATGGTCTTTGGGCTGGCTGGAAAGGGGAAGGGATGGGAAGATGGGTGGGAGTGGTTTGGCCTGGGCTCCCCCTCATCCCAGCCTCACTGTGCTCCAAAGGCCTTTTTAGTCACATGCTGCCGGGAGTTCGTTCATTCACCACATCAGAACCCAGCCATGCTCTGAGTAGTAGGACACTGGAAAAAACAGGAGAGACAAAGTCTTTCAAGGAGCTTCAGCTTGTTTTAGCCTTATTATACAAGGAGCCAGGCTGGATGCTAGTGAGCAAATAGAAGGTGTGGAAGGAGCTGTGTAAAAGATAGATTATGTGAAAGGAAGTGACTCGGATGCAGAAGCGGGATGCTCAGGAATCTGAGAAGTTGACGTTTAAGCTGAGAGTGTGACCTTAAGGCCGTCAAGGAGCCAGCCATAGAGAGGGTCATGAGAAGCCATTTCAGACAAAAGGAAGGACAACAAGGATGCTGAGGGAGGAAGGAATTTGGAGAGTTGCCAGAAAAAAAAGGGCAGTGTCCAGACATAGTCCAGGGCAGCCTGACTTGTTCCTTCAATGTTTGTTGTGTCTGTCATGTGCCAGACACCCTTCCAGGTGCTTGATGTCCAAGAGCAGAGAAAAGAGCTGAATGTCCTGCCCACTGGAAATTCACATTCTAGTGGAAGGGAACAGATTATAAATGATAGACATAAAATAAAGGAATTCTGTAATATGGAAGAGGGTGATAAGAGCTTTGTGAAAAAAATAGAGAGGGGATCAAGAATGGATGGGTAAGCCAGTCAGAAAAGGCCTCATATAGTATTGATTCCTTTGCTGTGAAATGTCCAGAACAGGCAAATCCATAGGGACAGAAAGTAGATTTGTGGTTGTCAGGGGCTGGGGAAGGGAGAACTGGGATTGACCGCTTACAGATGATGAAAATGTCCCGGAACTAGATAGCGGAGGTGGTTACACAGCTCTGTGAGTATGCTAAAGAAGCACTCAATTGTGAACTTTATTTTTTTGGCGGTTGCCCGGTAAGGGGATCCGAACCCTTGACCTTGGTGTTACAGCTCTGCACTCTAACCAACTGAGCCAGCCAGCCTCAGTTGTGAACTTTGAAATGATGAATTGTGTGGTGTGTGAATTCTATCTCAATAAAGATGTTATATATTAAAAAAAGAATAGAGATAGAGATGGGCCGGCCCAGTGGTGCACTCGGTAGAGTGCAGCGCTTGGGAGCGCGATGGCGCTCCCGCCGAGGGTTCGGATCCCATATAGAGACCGGTCTGCTCACTAGTTGAGCGAGGTGTGGGCACGACACCGAGGGTTGCGATCCCGTTGCCGGTCGCGGTACGGGTGTGACACCGAGGGTTGCGATCCTGTTACAGGTCACGAAAAAAGACAAAAAGGAAAAAAAAAAAAGAATAGAGATAGAGGGCAGTCAGAGCGTTAGTTAGGGATCGGGGTGGGCCTCATTGAGAAGGTGACATTTGAGCAAAGATGTGGAGAAGTGAATGAGCCTCTCATATCTGGGAAGGAGTTTCCCAGGTAGGAATCCGGAATGAAACCTATTTTTTTTTTTTTTTGTCCTTTTTGAGACCTGCCGCACCGCGCTCAGCCAGTGAGCGCTGGGAACGCACCGGTCATCCCTATATAGGATCTGAACCCGCGGCGGGAGCGCTGCTGCGCTCCCAGCGCCGCACTCCCTCGAGTGCGCCACGGGCTCGGCCCAGGAATGAAACCTATTTTGAAGTTTCCTGTTTTCTTAAATATTCCTGAGAATTTGGCATCCAACTCCATATTATGTTCGTTTATTTCATATAACGTTTTAGTCCCAAATATTTTGACAATCAAGGGAACAAACCGCCCCACGTTTCACCTAGCGTACTGGGATAAGCACTCGGGCCCCAGAGTGTCCGGGGGCTGGCTCCGCCCACAGAAGGCTCCGCTCCAGGAGCCGCCCCGCCCGAAAAGCCGTCGCCCAGCCCTTCGGTACCGGAACATTGCGCATGCCCAGTGCGGCCTCGCGCACGCGCTCTCTGCAGCCTCCCTTGACCTTTGACCTGCCGGCCGCCTTTGAGCCGGGGACTTGGGGCCAGGAAGCCGGACCCCGATCACCGCAGGCAAAGCAGCCACCATGGTGAGGCCCGAGTGGGCGCTGCCCGGGAAGGGGAGGCCGAGTCGGGTTCGGGCAGGGCCTGGAGCTGGGAGCGGGGCGAGGGGGGCGAGCCCGTCAGAAAGCAGGGTCTGAGGGCGTCGCCCCCGGGAGGACAGTGGTCTGCGGCGGCGGCGGCGGCCCTGGGGCCAGGGACAGCCGCTTAGCTGGAAGGCAGGGGGGCTTGGCTGGCCGGAAGACGCCCGACGCATGTGGCCGCCCTGTGCCCAGCCCGCGTGTGAGCGAGCAGCGGGGGCAGCCGGAGGTGGGGCAAATCCGGCCCGGGACCACCTGCCCAGCCCGGAGCCTTGTGGCTCTCAGCGGGGTCCCTCTTGTCGCCCCTCCGTTATCTCCACTTGAAAGTGACGTTTCCAAGGAAGTGGCAGACCTGGAACTTGAACGAGGTACTGAGACACCGAAAACGAGGGTTTCTGCGATACCGTTGTCACCTAGAACCAGTCTCTGTCAGGTCACCTGGGGAACCTTTAAAAATGCAGGTTCTTGATCTGTGTTCCTGGGGTTTCTATATGTGTAAGTTCCCCGAGTGATTCTGATACGGTCCGTTGGGAGCAACTTCTTAACTACTACTAATAACGATAATGTAACAGCTAACAGCTTCCAAGTGCCAGGCCCTGGGCTGAGGCTTTATGTAGATTCTCTCATTTCGTTCTTATGAAGTCATGCTGTCATTGTCCCCATTTTACACATGAGGAGCCTGAAGTTCAGAGAGTTTGACTCCTCCAGGGTCATGTGTCCCACAAGTGTCAGAGACCGGTTTTGAGCCCAGCTCTTTCCATATCCCGAGACTACACGTTTACCACCATGTTATTCCTGTCTTGCGATGGCACTACCATCCATTGGGGGCCTACTATGAGCCCTCACTGAGCTGGGTCCTTCGTATGCATTTCTTCATTTAACTCTGAGCCTCCCTCAAGGCTGAATAAAATGTGGCTCTGGAGGAGTTTGTATCCTAAAGGAGAAAGCAGGCGAGTCTGTAGAATAAGACAATATGACAGTCTATTAATAGGAAAAGAAAGTGCCATGTGAAGGTATAAATGGGAGAAACCTGGAAACGTTTCATTCAGGGCACGGGGGAGACATGTTGAGCTAAGTCCTGAAGGATGTCAGGTTTGACAGTATCAGGGCAGGAGGGAGGATATTCAAGGTGGAGGAGCTTGGAGCAGCAATGACATGGAGGAGCTTGGAGCAGCAATGACATGGAGAGCTCATCTAGGAGTAAGGGGTGTGGCTGCAGTGTGGAGAGAGGTGAGGTAGAGAAAAAATCAGAGGAATTTCAGGCCAGACTGAGAGCTGTGAATGTCAAGCTAGGGAGTGGACTGAATTTGCAGGTGCTGGAGTATTGTGTGTGTATTGGGGGATGGCCAGAGCCCTTCCTTAGCAGAGGGGTTAGGCGGCATTTGGAAATCCTGTCTGGGGGCATAGAGTTTATGAAACTCCACCTTTGGCCAAAGCAGAGCTGATGGTGATCTGTCAATTCCTGAACAGCCACATTCATTCAAATCAGGTACCTGCTGCACCAGCCACTGGCCGGGCCCCGGGAATACTATGGCAAATGCCACAGTTGTGGTCCTGACCTCCCTCCTGTTTAGTTGTGATGCCAGCAGCTGTTTGCAGGGGCCCTGCCCCTTCCTATCTCAATGTGTCCTTGGGAAGGGGCTGAGTCTGCTCACTAGTCTGAGATCCTGGAGCTGTGCCTTGAAGGAACATTGCACTTGGAGCTGTCTGCAAGCTGGGCAGCTTTCTTGATGCTCTTGACATGAGATAAGCCACTTAAGTTAGAGTCCTTTACCCTAGCTGCAGGGTTTTGGTCCCACACTGTGCCCCATTGCTCCCCAGATGAGAAAGCTTATGTGCTGCCCACCATGGTTCCCAGGGTTAGAGTCCTATGGCTCTGAACTCTGCTCTCTGACCACCGCTTGGCCTGGAGTTGGATGCTGCGACAGCTGGTTGCTCCTGACTGGTACCTTTAGGCCCAAGTGTCAGTGGGCTATGGGTTGTTTGAAGGCCTTCTGGAGGGGCCGCAGCCAGTGGCTGTTTTGCTTCCCTGAGGAGCTGTATCTGGCAGAGCTTTTCTCCCCACAAGTCCTCAGCTCTGAGTGCAGCCTGACCCTTAGTCAGCACTCAGGGACTGTTTGGGCACTGAATGGGTGGATGAGAGGCTTGGCTGCACTGCCTGATCACTAGACCATTCACCAAGCAGGGTTTGTTCTGGAAGCAGAGACAGCTGATGAGCTTCCTGCTTTGTACCTGCAGCTGTCTGTCTGTCCATCACCTCCTAAGGGCCTTACAGCCCTCCAGTGAGGAGCGTATTAGCCTATCCATTTTGCAGATAAGAAAACTGAGGTTCAAAGAGGTTGAGTAATTTGCCCAGGGCAACACAGCTGGTGAGAAACAAAGCTAGGATTCCAGAGACAAAGCTAGGATTCCAGTCGGGGTCATCCTTGTTCTCGTTCCTCCTGCTGCTGCTTCTGAGCCACGTGGGGAATGTGGTGTGGCTTTGTGTGGCCTCCACCATGAGGAATCAAAGTGCCTACAGCAAATGAGCTGCTATATTGGAAGATTTGTTGTTCTATAATGCCTGGCCATTGTCAAGTTTTATGAAACAGAATAGCAGTAAATGGAAACCAACATTAATTGAGCATCTACTAAGCCTTTAGGCTCTGTGTCATGCACTTTACAGGCATTATCTCATTTAATCCCTATGACAGTCCTGTTGTTGGCCACATTTTACTGATGAGGAAACTGAGGCTCAAAGGGGTTGAGAACTTGTGCAGGGTCATGCAGCTGATCTCACAACCTGCCTGTGTAACCACTACACCCTGCTACCTTCCTGGGACATGCCTCCCACAGGAACCTTGGGGGCCTCAATCAGCCATGCAGGCAGTTCCCTTCACTGGCCAGCCCCACCGCCTTCCCCACAGCCATGGTCCTCTGAACAGCCGGAACCACAGGCCACTATGCCTCTTAGTTTGAAGTGCGTAGGGGGTGGTTGGTTGGGGAAGTTCCCCAGTTACAACCTTAGTTCTTTTTTTTTTTTTTCTGTGTTTTTTTTGGGGGTGGCTGGCCAGTACAGGGATATGAACCCCTGACCTGACCCTGATATTACAAGGCTGTGCTCTAACCAACTGAGGTAACCAGCTAGCCGCTACAATCTCGGTTTAGTATTTAGCAGCAGAGCAGCAGTCATTGACCTCGGCAGAAAAGTAAACCAGTGATCACAAAGCCGTGTGATGGGTGTGTGACTTCAGAGGGAGGGGAGGCTGTCAGTAGGAGGTGTGGTCTGAGACCTGAGGGGTGTTGCTGGCAAGGGAACCCACTGCATTCACCTGTTGGCCTGTCACCTCTGTCATTCATACAGGACCAGCATCCCATCTGAGAGCTTCCTGTCCCACTTGGGGGTGGCTTCAGGGGAAGAGGGGAGAAGTCAGGTGAGACTGCTCAGTCTACAGGTGCGTCCATCATTCCTCCTTACACCTGCAGCACAGCTGGCTACGGCCCGCACCTCTCCCTGATCACAGGAGGGTCTTCTCTGGCCTTTGCTTTCTGGTGTGAAATCCAGGGCTTATGAAATTTTCACCTCCTTGTGAAATCAAAACCCACTTCTGCTTATCTGTTCCCGTAATGGCCCGTCCTCACATCCCGCCTGTTAGCAGACAGGTTCTGGAGTGTGGATCGCACTGGAGTCTGACAAGCCCTTTGTTGTCTCTGGGTTGGGTCTTGCTACTTGTCGGCCTGCTCAGTCATCCTCCCTCCAGACCCCAGGGTCCTGTGTGAGCTGGGCAGCCTGGAATGCCATGGCTAAGAGGGCTGGTTTTGTGTCCCACCCCTCCTTCCCCGAGTACCAGCTGTGTGTCCTCAGGCTCATCACTAAACCCCTTGAGTTGTTGGATTAAATAGCACAACAAATAGAACGTGTTTGGCACAGGGCTCAGTCAGTACTTGTTGACTGAGAGGATGTCTGACTACAGAAAAGAACAAAGAAGAAGGAAAATCACTCGGCTGTGCCCCTTGAGCACTGTTACCTATGGCGTGTGTTCTTCCAGCATTCTCTGTGCACCCACGTTTAGACCATTTTGCTTACACGGGGTCAATTTATTCAGGCTGTCTATATATGATCTTTTATTTCCCAGGAAGATCTGTGCATTTTTCCATATCTTCCACCTGCCTGGTCTGATCGCTGACCAGCCTAGGCTATTGGCTGCTCCCAGGACAACCCTTATACTTTCTCTCCTCCCAGTTTTGGCTCACCCCATCCCTCTGCCTAGAAACCCCTAATATTCCCATCATGGTTCTTCCTGCCTTTTGAAACTCAGCCCAGGAGAAAGGCTGTCTCCTCCCAGAACCTCCATCACATTCCCGAGTTTTCCCTGTGTTGGCTTTCTGTGCTCTGATCACATCTTAGTGAGACTCCCCATGTGTCTCCATGGTGCATGGAACTGCACAGTCTGGGTCACGTCTAGTCTCACTGTGCTGCGGCTGATTTCCCCGCCAGTCCAGCTCCAAGGGCAGGGACCAAGTTCTATGTATCCTTGTGCTCAAGTGCTGAGTGGAGTAGACTCAGTGTTTGGATGAATGAGTGAACCAGCAGCTGAATAGATGAACTAGCCTTGCTGTCTCTAATTGGTGCTTAGTGTGTTGGTCTAAGTACCCTCCTAGTGAGCTTTTAGCTCCTTGAGGGTGGAGACCTTTGGTAACTGTTGTGTTGAACGGAACAGACTCAGAATCACAGGACTTTGAATAGTATTGGGAGAATTAGGACGGATGAGTTTCCCACCAGGTGATCTCAGAAGCACAGGAAGATCTGCCATCGGCCTCAGGGTGGAGAGTAAGTTAGTGGCAGGTGTGGGACTATGCCTGTGCTCTGGCCCCAGGCCACGGTATCCCTTCCTGCAGCACTCTGGCTTGGCTTCTCTCTGCTGTTCCTGAAGGCAGGCCATTCTGCCTCTGGGGACAGCATCAGATTCACCCCGGTATACCTGTGCGCTGAGCATCTGAAGCCACCCAAAGGAGAAGCTTTTTGTCGGGGTACTTTGGAGGAGGCGGCCATGGCTGCGGCTCTGTGCATCATCACCGCAGGCTTCCAGCAGCCTCACTGCTCAGCAGCCATTTCCAGGGTCCCATCTCTGCGGGCCCTGAGAATGCAGCCTGCTGACCAGGTGCCTGCTTTGCCCACAGGCCAAGTACCTGGCTCAGATCATTGTGATGGGGGCGCAAGTCGTGGGCAGGGCCTTTGCTCGGGCCTTGCGGCAGGAGTTTGCAGGTAAGCATGGGCCCCTGTCTGCACCTGGGCTGGGAGCTCCTGCCCAGGTCAGATTTTCCCCTTAGCTATGTAGTGTACGGATCCCTCTGCAGGCTGGGGTTGTGCAAGTGTGGGTGTGGTTTGGGACACTTTCCCATGGTTGGGGGCGGTGCCAGACTTTGGGACATTCCCATGTAAGGGAGAGATTTGTCTTCAGTGAGACCTGGTTAACCTGAGCATCCAGGGCAGGAGAGCCAAAGTGCCCACCTGTTTTTGTAAGTAAAGTTTTATTGGAACACAGCCAGAGTGGGCAGGGCTGGGAGGTGGTGGGGACAGGGTCATCTCATGGTCTGAGTTGAAGACCCGGAGCCAGGTTTGATGGCCAGTCCCTGCCCTTATCCTCCAGTGAGGCGTGTCTGTCCTCACTTCCCTCCCTCTCCCGCCCCCCCAAAACCTTTCCCCTGAAAAAGAAACCACTCCTGGAGAAGAGACACCTCCCAACTACCTCTGTTCCTGTGTGTCTCTTCTATGCCACCTGGCAGGGGTGAGCCACCCACTTGGAATGCCCAGGGGGAGCTCTGGGCTGCTGAGGGCTGAGCGATCACCCACATGTCCACACAGCCAGCAGGGCAGCAGCTGATGCTCGGGGACGCGCTGGACACCAGTCTGCAGCTGCTTCCAACCTCTCTGGCCTCAGCCTCCAGGAGGCACAGCAGATTCTCAATGTCTCCAAGCTGAGCCCCGGGGAGATCCAGAAGGTGAGCTCCAGCCAAGCCCTGCTTGGCCGGGAAAGAGCAGAGGCTTGGCAGAAAGGGGCAGGTGTGGAGGCTCTGACCACAGCCAGCTCAGACTCCGGCCTGGGGGAGTCACTGTCACTTGTTAAGTTTTAGGCCCAGGGCAGGGCAGTAGCAGCTGAGCCCTCCCACCACGTGCACCTGTCCATGTCTCTGCCCCTCAGTGGTCACAGCAGCGTCCTGTGCTGTGTGCATGGCACACAGGGTGTAGAGGTTGGCCTTTTAGCTTCCCTTCCCTTTGTCACTTCATAGTGTCCCCTGGTATCTCTAAGCCAGATCCAGCCAACCCTCTCACCTGGCTCCTCTCTTGCAGAACTATGAACACTTATTTAAGGTGAACGATAAATCCGTGGGTGGCTCCTTCTACCTGCAGTCAAAGGTGAGTGGTCTTTGATGCAGGGAGGGGTGAGCCATGGGCCCTCCTCTCCTCCCGTGGGGCCCCTCATTTCCAGGCAGGGTGAGCTTGGCGGGTAGGAAGGTGTGTCACACCTTTCCCTGGTACCCCAGCCTCCAGGAGGGCTCCCCTAAACTGCCACCCCTCAGCTCCATTGGGCCCAGCTGGTCGGGCTGCGTCACCCTGACAGTGGCTCCCAGCAGCTGGGGCTGAAGGACCAGGAGCAACAGCTGGGGTGTGCGGGAGCCAGCTCTGCTCATAGACCACGTGTGCGCCTGCCCAGCTCCTGGCAGCCCCTCTGTCTGCCGTGGAGGAGCTGCTGCTCCCAGGCCACTCCTCCTGCCCTGTGGTGCTGCTAAAGGAGGCACTTGTGTCCCTCCCACTGCCCTCCAGGGAATCAGCCCGGGCCTGGGATGGGCAGAGGCTGGGTCACCCAGCCCAATTGTCCGTGACCCCTCCAGGTGGTCCGAGCGAAGGAGCGCCTGGATGAGGAACTCAGAATCCTGGCCCAGGAGGACAGAGATGAGGGGCAGATGCCCAAAACATGACTGCTCAGTTCCCCCTGCCCCGCCGCCTCTAATTTATAGCTCAGTAATAAATAAAACAAATGTCTTTCACGCTTGTCGCACGCATGCATCCGGATTCCAGAAGGCAGGTTGTTCTTCTCGCCAGTTGTAGGGCTGAGTGCTGGGGATGGGGAGGCAGTGGCCTTTGACAGCCCAGGGGGGCCAGGGTGGGCGAGGTAGACTAGTAGCTAGCTGCCCTGCCCGCACGAGATGTGATGCGCTCCTCCTCATACTGGACCCAGCCACTCCTGCCTGCACAGCACTGTACCCGACTCCATCCTGTGGCATCCTGCCAGTCCCCAGCTCCTGGGTCACCATCCTTGGGTCTTGCCCCTGCCTTTCCCACGGGGTGAAGGAGGCCCTGGCCCCAGAGCTGTTGCTGGCCACTCCCCGCCCCCCCCAGGCTGGGTTTGAATCTAGCATCCCCATCATCTGGCTGCGGGAGGAGAAGCCTTTGCCAGCGTCTTGTTGGATGGAGGCATTGCTCACCAAAGTCGCAGCAGTAGTGGCAGGACCAGGACCTGAACCTTGTGATGCTTAGTCTGAGCCATCTTGGCTCCTAGCAGCCCTGCTCCTCAGCACCACCCCCTCCCCAGTTTCCCAGCCACCTTTTCTCAGCTGCAGATTTGAGAGGTGGTGGCACCTGCAGGGTTGGGGAGAAAGCTGCAGATAGATCAGGGCCTTCCAGTGCTATAGAGAACAACCAGGCAGAGAGTAGTGGTGGTCTAGTGTCAGGTGGCCCAGGCCCTGGCATGCCCAAGACGCAGAAACCATCTTTGCAACTCACTTTTATTGTTTCTTTATAAACTTCCTCTCACATGGAGGAATATATTGTTATAGTCATTAGCTTATCTTTTTTTTTTAAAACTCTATGCTAACAGCAATGGAGCTGAGAGGAGAAGAAACATAAGCTACAATAGAAAGGCACTTAGAACCTGTTAAAATACTGATATCCTGGAATGTGCAACCACAAACTGACAACGAAGAGTATACCGGCCTCGCAAGCCTGGTCTGTTACCAAGTCACATGCTAACATTTCAGCCTTCCAGTGCCCTGTTCCTCTGCTCTGCTTGAGTCTCAAACCCATGAACCCCCATGGGGGAATTAAGGCCTGGGGCCCTAGCGGGAGTGGGGTTCCTTGGGTCCTAGGGGTGTCCGAAGAAAGGAGACCAGCTCCCTCCTACCGTGCTCAAAGCCCCTTCAAGGGGCAGAGTCAGCATGGCCGGGCCCTGTCAGGGCTGGGGGCCTAAGCCCAGCAGCGGGGTGGGCTGGGTCAGGGTGACCCCTCTGGGACAGAAGGGCAGTCCAGGAAAGGGTAGGGTCAGCAGAGCTGCTCAGAGGAACTTGCAGGGCAACTGAGGACCCCATGGCCATCCCGGTAGCTCCTGTTCTGCAGATGGCAAATGGAGAGTGGGCCTTGGCCACTTTGCGCCTAGTAATAGGGCAGCCCTAGAAGCCCAGGCAGCATGGGGCAGGGGATGGGAGTGGATAGGGATGGGAGTGGATAGGGCCAGGGTGGGAGGGCCCAGCTTCCTGGGATGGGGCAGCAGGCTGTGGTGCACAGAGACCGCCGGCACCCTTGGATTATCCTCACCCTTGCTACAAGCCTTCCGAGTACAAAGACCCTGGGGGACCCAGCTGGGTGTGGAGTAAACAAGGGGATGCCCCTTCCCAGGCAGAGGACTGGGCCCTCCCATGGCCATCCTTGGCTGCCCCCAGACCCGGGGCCTTCAGTCCATGGCCTCCAGAAAGCTCCTAGTCCAGTCCTAACCTGGAGCCCACCCTTCCCTGTGTGCTGTCACTTGGTGCCCCCAGATCTGGAGCTCTGGCCCAGTCTGGGTTGTCCCCAGCCAGCCTCCCATCTCCTGGTGAAGAATTGATGTCCTGCAGGCCGGCACTGCCCAGGCCAGGCCCAGCTGGGGCAGGTGACGAGAAAGCTCAGCTCAGCCTGGCCCCACCTGCTACCCTCTCTGGCTCAGGGCTCCCTGGCACCCGCTCCCAGGGTGTGGGGCAAGTGAGTGGTCAGCTACCCTGTCACTCTGCAGAGTGTTGTCCCTCTGGAAGTGCTGTCTGAATCAGACTGAGGGACAGCTAGCAGAGCGGGCCTCCCTTCTCTGAACGGGAGGCACCTTGTCGTGGGAGGCAGGAAGAGCGGTGACCACTTCCTATGGCTTTGCTGGGGCCTGCGTCTATCCTGCTTCCCCTCAGAAGGGTGGGCTGGAGGGAAAGGGGTCCAGGGAGCCCCCCAAACAGAGGCTGGGTGAGCCTAGGCAGGAGATGGGGAGGCATTTGATCCCTGGGAGCTCCTCCTCACGGCTCATGACATGAAGGAGGCCGGAGGGAACCTGGTGCCAGCAGCGAGGGCAGATGCCCCCCCCACTGCTGGGATGTGGGCAGGTGGGAGACTGAGGGGGTCTGAGGGTCAGGTGGAAGATGGGGGCAGGAGGGCCTGGAGTAAGGCCTCGGCACCCAAGAGCACAGCTCTCCCTGGATGGCAGGTCCAGGTCCTCACTTGGGAGCCAGGCAGCCAGCAGTGACCTTCTAGCACCATCCTTGCTGCCCAGCTCATCCAGGGCAGGGCTGCCCAGGGAGCACAGCCAACCAGGTCCTGGGGCAATAGGACATTATTGCTATTTCGCAGAAGAGTTTCCGTTCGTCGGGGCGGGGCCAGAGCAGCTGGCAGGGCTGCCACAGCTGTCTGTCGGGCGGGCTCAGTTCACCACGGCTGGCTTGAGTAGCACGGAGCCCGGCGGGATGACCACCCAGCCCGGGGCCAGCGCTTCTGGGCTGCTGGCTGCCGAGTTGACGCCTGTGGACAGGTCCAGCACGGTGCCTGGCATCAGGGGGAGTCTGTCAGGGCTTGGCCGGGAGCAGCTGCTCTCCGTCCTTTCAAGGGGTGTCTTGCGACCCTCCATGCCCAGGGCCCTAGCAGGCACCGACCCACGTCCCTTCTCCCCCTCGGCCTTGCCGCCAGCGGAGCCGGCGAGGAGGGAGACCACAGGCAGGCCCAGTCCACCAGCCCCAAAGGGCGAGGGCAGCAGCGGGTTCTTGGCCAGATTGAGGGGCAGGACGGGGCCTGGCAGCCCAGGGCCCATACCCCCCCCACCCC